AAAACTTGACTTCTAGTGATCGAGAAAAATCAAAAAACATCTTTGATACCATTGGCAAGAAAGTTTCCAAAGAAGAAGAACTGATTGTGAAGTATCTGAAGGCCTATTTAACCTTTGAAGCGAGAGATATATAGAGGTTTTTGATGACAGAAGGACTAATTTTTCCCCTTCCAGTCACTTGTAGATCTCTTAGAGCTATCGCTATCATGGTTTTCTAGGAAATTTTACCTATCTCAGTTTTATTCTGAATTTTCAGTAGCACAAATCCTTACCAAAGATGATTGACTAATATAAAACATATTAGTTTTTGAAATGTAAACAAACTCTTATTGGTCATATTCGTAAGTTCTGATAATATCATTGGTGATTAAAAAAAAGATTCCAGAAACATTTGTCTTCAAAAAACTCAAGTTTCTTAATAAAAACTTAAATAATACCAAAAAATCAAGTAATAGATAATGTGAATTGCAAACTTCCATTTCTTATCTAAGTTCCTTAAGTGGTGACAAAGCTTTAATAAAAAAAAGCTGAGATCTAAATGCTTTCTTTGAGATATTCCAATCTGGTACTCACTTAAATAAAAGACTAGTTGAATTGACTCATCTGATACTGCAGGTGATGAAAAAGAAGATTTCTTTTGAGATTTAAGTGAAGCAAGAAGACTATTTCAATCAGACAGATTTTTTTTGAGAAGAGGTTGTTTTTATTTTTGGATTTTTTTGATAGGTCTTGAATTGTCCCCTTTCCCCAATCGTTTTTCCCCTTTTTCCCTTTTTAACTTAGCAATTCATTGATTTTTGGGCAATCAACAGTGACAAACTGTTGGCAATAATTCTGATAGATAGAGGTTATTACCAATCTATTGGGGATGTAATATTGTCCCAAAATCTGACTTAGAGTACTTTTGTATAAAAACAAGTTAGTTACGTTGTGAAAGTCTATAAAATATTGTAGATTTACTTCAATTTTTCAATAAAGACAAGCCATCGTAACATGATTGCGGGTTAAAAAAAAAAAAAAAAAAAAAAAAAAAAAAAAGTATCTAAAAAGTACTGAATACAAAAAAAGTTTATTTAAAGTCACTTCAATACTTATACAACAGTACAAAAAAAAAAACAAATTGAATAGATATAAAAATATTTAAATTTCAATTAAAAAAAGATTCTATTTATAGATAAAACTACTTTTCAATTATATCGAAATACAATTCTATTATAGCATAAAGGTAAAAAAATTATCTAATGTAAATCAAAAGATTGAACAAAAACTTTCATATGGAATAGATTTAATATTAAAGAAACAACATCTTGATTTTGTTTTCTAACAACAATGACAGATAGTTATTATGTCAAAATTTTACAAATTCATTTTTTAGAAGTCAAATAAATTTAAAAGGCAAATAGATGTTACAATGCAATAATGATCTAAAACATATCAATAAAATTATGAAAGAATTTTTTTAAAATAATATTTTTGAAATAATGAATTGACTGATAAATATTATCAATCTAAATCCAATTGAAAATTTATAGAGAATAGTAAAAACAAATATAAAAAAATATAAATAAAAAAATTCAGAAAAAAATTAAATAATTTTATAAAAGAGAAGTAGACTAATATTCTGAAGTTTATTTTAATAAATTTAATTAATTTAATGTCAAGCCATTATAAGACTGTTATTGCAAATAATGGTGATACAATTGATTTTTAAATTTTTTTTAAATAATTATGTATATCTTAAATTTATAAATAAATATATTTTATATAATAATTATAAAATAATAATAATATATTTATAATTTGAATTTTTTTTTCAAACCATTGTATTATCAATTAAACCCATTCTTATCTAAATATGAATATACTTATCTATCTATATAACATATTTTAGATTTAATTCCTTAAAGAAGGACTGCATCTAGCCTCACAGTTAAAATTTATATATATTATATCTTAATACTTGTTTATTTCTTATATTTTTTATAAATAATTTCAAAAATAATTTAAGACAACAACCAATCAAAATTTTTTAAAGTAAAAATTTGATAAAAAAATTGTTTTTTTTTTAAGAAATAAGATATAATATATATGAATTTTATAATTTTTGGTAAACAAAGCATGATCTAAGTAATACTTATTATTCCTTTGTGCTAATCTATATAGCTTATAATAAGTGAATTTATCATTGTCAAGGGAGTGTATCATAGATCAAAAAAATTTTTTTCTAGAAGGTTGGAGATGTGATCAAGTTATCAGCGTGACAGACATCACTGACCTGTATTTAAAGGATAATTAAGGAAAATTCAAAAGTTGCATCAAACAATATCGACCAATGTAAGTTAAACTTTTGTAATGAAGCTTCAACTCAAAGAAAGTACTTATAAACTCTTTGATTTAAAAGGGTTAAAACAGTTTCACGTGCGGAAAGCTATTCTCGTTCGAGAAGCCACTCACGTTCACGATCCAGGAGTCGCAGTTCTTACTCTTATTCCACTAGAAGTCGTTCTCGTTCTTACAGTAGGAGCCGGTCGCGTTCTAGATCTTACTCACGCAGCCGTTCGCCAACTTATTCTCGTAGGAGGCGTTCTCTCTCACCGCTTCCCACGAAAATCATGGTGAACAAGCTTACCAAAAATGTCACCGAGGCACACTTACAGGAAATATTTGGGGCCTTTGGACGAATCAAGAATATCGAATTGACTCTTGATGAAAAATGTTTGGATAGTTTTTAATTTGCTTTAGATTATATACGCTGTATTTTTTAACACATTATAAATCGATGTTTTTTTTCACCAGGGCAAACCAATAAGGGTATAGCATATATAGACTTTGACACCAGATCTGAAGCGGAAAAAGCCATCAGCTACATGGACGGAGTGAGTGTTTGGCACAATCCTTGTGAGAAAAATATAGTATCTCAATTTTATTTTTCTCGATAAAATAAATTCAGGGTCAGATTGATGGAAATGTACTTTCATGTACCTTTGTTCCCCGTCGTCCGCCATCATTACCACCACCTAGGCGTAGAGGTATAGTTGAATAAAATAACTTGAAGTTTCTTGCATGGTCTATTGACATAGAATAATGTATCAAAAACATTTACTTATTTTGAAGGCGGAAGGTACATATCTCCACCACCACCTCCACCACGACGTTTTGGAGCGAGTAGCTATCGTGCTCGTGGCAGATCTCCGATGCGACGCTATTCAAGGTCGCGATCTCGATCACCCCCTCGCCGCAGAAGATCATATTCTTACAGCGACTCATACAGCACAAGGAGTCGATCTCGATCCCCCTACTCAAGAAGCCGTAGCAGAAGTTACACTCATTCTAGGAGCCGTAGCAGAAGTAGAAGCCGCAGTCGCCATTAATGCCACGACTCATTTACACACCCTTTTCCTTCTTTCTTTTCCAATGCTTTATATATTTTCTTTTATTTG